GTCGAAGACAGGAACGAAATGCGGATTGTATTACTCATCCCCACCTAACATTTTAAACTAGAAAAAACCCAAAGCAGCACTCGAGTTAACTTGATTTTTCTCTATCAACCTTGTGGCTGGGATGGATCAATTCTTAAATATACGGATTTAATTCTTATTCCTAACTGTGTGTGAAAGTTGAAAGGATTATGCCTTGTTTGTGTGGTGGTAACACCCCACCTGTCAATATCTTTACCTTTTCCATAAGTTTTAGGTCAAGACATAGTTCGTACTATTCTTTGAAATGTCTTAAAATTCTATTTTAAAGAAATAAACCATATTTCCTACATTTTTATTTACAAGTAAATTTTTAGGTGAAAGAAAATTATTTTTCTTCCAATCTTCTAGTCATATCTATTATAATTTTCTTCCTTTATATTTTTGTAAATTTCTTTAATATTTTGTTCTCTATCTATTCTATTTTATTTTCTTGTGATAATTTTATTTTTCATAACTTATGTTATTTTTTAATGAGTCCTTGGCCTATGGCTTCGTCACAATAATTTAAAATTATATAATTTTAAATTCCACCTTAAAAAATAAGAATTTAAAACTTATTATGTTTTCTCATCCCTCACATCTAGTTTGTCTTTATTTCTTTCCTTAATCATTGACTCAATTAAGGTCAATATATTACTTTTTTTTTAGCCTTAACAAAGAAATATACCACACTAATCCATTTTGTATGGATGATGAGATTTCATTAATATAAAATCATTTTTTTTTCTGTAATAAATTGTTAAAACCTCATTTTAGTTTGAATCCTAATAGTTCTACTAAGCATACAAAAATTGTTGAAAAAATAAAAAAGAAATATCTATCTCTTTTTACGTGATCAAACAAGAAAGAAATTCTAAATTTATTCAAGATAATTATGTACTTACACCATACTATCTCAACTCGTCTTATTCCATCATACTAAGGATGTGACACGGTTTCAAAGGGTGAACATTTCACTAAGATTTCATTTTTGAAGAAATTTTTTAAGGGATGATATATTAGCATACATCCACTGAGAATTAAACCTACGAATTCGCCAATTTAGCTCAACAAAAGCTATGGAGTCATTGATTATGTCTGATTGAAGGATTTGTGTGAATAATTTAATTATAAATATTATTCGTTTGAAAGTTTCCCAGAATAATTTAATATCTTAAAAAAAAGATGTGAGAATTTGCAACGAAAAAATAAGAAAATTTTTCTATATCAAAATACCAGTTGATAAAATTATTTGCTCAATCAATCAAAACTTCATCAACTCAATCTCATATAGAGATGTCAATTAAAATTGAAATGTTGATAATTCATCTCAATTAAAACGTCTCTTTGAAATTTGATATATTTTTTTATTATTGTTTAATTTTATAATGTATATAATTCAAATGTTATATAAAAAAAATTTACATTTTATTCAAAATTATTGATAATATAATAAATTAAATCAATGTAATTTAATCTCTTTATTATATATTTATATATATATATATATATTATAAATTTAATTAAATATGGCAAAATTGTAGGTTTACTCCCTAGCTCAACAAATACTTTGGATAAAGTATTTTAAAAATATAGAGAATTCTAAATTTTCAAAATTTAAATTGTTTTAATTTAAAGTTTCTACATTTTCCAATTAATTAATCAACTAAAGTACTTTAACAAATTTAAAAAATAATTATGTATTAAAAATATGATGAGAAATATATTACTTTTGTTTTTTAACTATCCACGAAGAGTTTGTTTGAAAGCTAGAAAAAAATAGTTTTATTCTTTTAAAAATTAAAATTGTGTTTGCCACCATGCCGCTAACAACTTCTATATTGAAGAAAAGATCAAGCAAACATTTGATACCTGAAAAGAATTCGTAGATTCTTAATCTTTAGAATACAAAATTATTCATTTTAGATTTTGAAGTAATTAAAACAAAAACAAACAAAAACATTATAGACATTGTTGAATATAGAAGAAATAGAGTTTGAGATTAATCTCCTTTGTGTATAAATCACACATAGAGTAGTCTATTTATAGTAGAGAGATACAACTAAAAGAGTAACTGAAAGTAACAGAATAAACAGAAGATATTGTTTGATATTATGGTTAATATCTAACAATATCTTAACAATATTAAATAATATCTAAACAATATCTAACACTCCCTCTCAAGCTGGAGCATACAAATCGTATGTGTCAAGCTTGTTACAAATATAATCAATTCTAGGACCCCGTAAAGATTTAGTAAAAATATCTGCTAACTGATCACTTGAGTTAACAAACTCAGTCTTGATGTCTCCAGACATAATCTTTTCTCGAATGAAATGACAGTCAATCTCAATGTGTTTGGTCCTCTCATGAAAGACGGGATTAGAACTAATATGAAGAGCAGCCTGATTGTCACACACAAGTGACATTTGAGTGACATCTCCAAATTGTAACTCTTTAAGCAATTGCTTGAGTCAAACAAGTTCACAAGCAGCTGAGGCCATAGCCCTATATTCTGCTTCTGCACTATATCTTGTCACAACACTTTGTTTCTTACTTTTCCATGTGTTAAGATTCCAACATAAAACCAATTGACAATATGTGGAGTAGCCTAACATGTATTTAAATCATACCAAATGACATGAGGTAGGCGATGTGGGACTTTCAACACGCCCCCTCCAACGAAGCCTGTCGGACCAGGCAAAGGGTACTTTTGACCCAACTAAAGAGCAACTTTTGGCCCATGACAATAACCGGAAAAATGTTAGGCTTTGATTCTGATACCATGTTAAGGTTCCAACATAAAACTAATTGGCAATATGTGGAGTAACCTAACATGTATTTAAATCATACCAAATGACATGAGGTAGGCGATGTGGGACTTTCAACACCATGAGACCAAGTTACCACCAATGGAGACACAATATCCAGATGTAGATCTTCTATTCGAAGGAGATCCTGCCCAATCAGCATCTGAGTAGCAAACAACTCTTGTATGGTTATTAGAATCATATAACAATCCTTTTCCAGGAGATCCTTTAATATACTTTAAGATACGAATGACTGTATTTCAATGATCTTCACATGGGAAATTAAGAAATTGGCTTACCACACTGACTACAAAGAAAATGTCAGGACGAGTAACTGTAAGATAATTCAATTTTCCAACCAATCTTCTATACTGCTCAAGATCAAGTATAAGCTCCCCCTGATTTGGTAAAAGTTTAGTATTGGGATACATAGGCGTATCAACAGACTTTGAATTCATCAACTCAGTTTCCTCTAAAATATTCATGACATACTTCCTCTGAGATATAACAATACCATCATTGGACTGTGTCACCTCAATACCCAAGAAATATCTAAGTTTGCCAAGATCTTTAGTTTGAAAATGGTGACAGAGATGTTGTTTCAACTGAGAGATGCCATGTTTGTCCCTACCTATTCGATCATCACAGTGAGATACCAATGCAGAAGAATCATTAACAGAAGCAGGTGTGTCAGGGTTGGGTTTTGCTGGTATACGCAAAAGAGTAGAGCAGGTCGATGTCAAGGTGGGGACAACCGGAGAACCCAAAATCTGATCATGAATATGTGAATATTGATCAGCAAGTCCGTGTAATGCCCCTAGCATGAAGAACTTTGATCGTTGTCGTATCTCGGTGGCAGGGTCGGGGGAAGGAGGCAATAACTCATTGAACTCATGAAAAAGAGCATGAATTTTGCCCATATAATCAGTCATAGAATCTTGATGTTTAGAGGCAATAACATCTACAAATTTAGAACAGACATCATAGAGACGTTGAGTATCATTGGTGTATAATAACTTGGCATGTTCCCAGATTTTGACACATGTTTGGTAGGAACGAAAAATTTGTTTTAACGAAGGATCAAGAGTACCCTTGAAAACCCCGCATAATTGAGCATCAATGGTGTCCCAACGGTCTTCCTCACCAGGAGTGAGAGTAGGTGCTTTCGGGGCAAGATGATCAAGATACTTCTGGCTCTTCAGCCATAATCTGACGTCTGATGACCATGTGGCATAATTAGGACCAGTTAACTTGTCAATGAATAAGTGCACATTAACATAGTTAGTGTAGATGGAAGGATCAGACGCAGTACTGACAGAATTGGAAGTACTAAAAGGAGCTAAAGAACTCATAAAGGGCGAAGGCGATACTGACAGCGACGTGAACCAGTACACCAGATAAGTTCCCAGGAAAGAGATGTGGGTCACTAATGGACACGCTTAAATACCAAGTCTTTTCTTGTCAGAACTTTCCTAGACATGCACTTTCACACTACCAAATAACCGACAGCGATAGCGACGGTGGTGACGGCTTCAATAGTGGTCAAAGGCGGAAAAAAAAATCAAAATAACCTTAAGCTCTGATATTTGTTGAATATAGAAGAAATAGAGTTTGAGATTAATCTCCCTTGTGTATAAATCACACGTAGGATAATCTATTTATAGTAGAGAGATACAACTAAAAGAGTAATCTGAAAGTAACGGAATAAACAGAAGATATTGTTTAATATTATGATTAATATCTAACAATATCTTAACAATATTAAATAATATCTAACAGACATAAATTCCAGAATTTACTCATTTTATAGAAATTAAAAATAATTTTAAAATTTAAAGGGGTGGTCAAAACATTACTTTTTGTGTAGCAAACAAAATCTTAATTTGCAAACGAATAATGATTACTAAATAAGAAATGAGACGTTTGCTTAACTAAAAAGAAATTAACAAATTTCTTGAAGAAAATGGAAGACAGAGTTGTCTTTCGAAATACGCAAACATCATTTTCTGGTCACTTTACTTCAACCTATTTCTTAATTTCAATGCCAATTGTTTGTGTGTGGACAAAGGTTACTTGCTTTGTTACCAGGTCAGATTCAATTAATTGTCCATTACACAATACAAGTCGCCCTAACATATATCTCAGACAACAATAAACAAAAAATAATGTATACTAACACTTCACAGGAATTTGCATTGGTTGGTAAGATGACTCTCCATCAACACTAGCACACCCAAAGCGAATGGTTGCCGTGTCCAAAGCCTTCTGCTTCCAACACTCCAAGTGCAAAGTTACACGCAATTCAACAAGAGAACGCTACACAAATGTCCAGAGGATGGGGAGTGGACACTTTTCTACAAATATGATCCTTCCACTTAAAACAATATGAAAGACTGCTTCAAGGAGCCCAAGTAGGTTGAAAACCGGAAATAACTTTTATGCTGAATTTACGTAAAGTTGTCTGCTTGCCTAATGTGCTAATTAGAAGTCACAAGATCACCGAACGTATAAGTATGCTGACGAGAGGAATATGACCCTGGAACAGAATTTGGATAACATGGGTACCATAAATCTCATGTTCACGGGTCTGCTTCTTTGCATGGTTATATGTGCATGCAACATTCAGACACAGAAGAACTCCGAAATAATCTCCATGATATGTGTAACCGAGATTGTCAATTTACGAGAAAGAGTTTAAAACTCAATTTTTTGTTACATGGAGATCATTTGAGACTAGTTATCTCAGATCATGCAATAATTATTCCTGGCACATCATGTAAATTCAGTAACCTTAGTCGTCAGGAAGAATTACGACTATTGGTGGAGGGCTTTCAATCAAAATGAAAATCGTTAACCTGAAAGACCTAAATCCAAAGGCTTTTTTGGTCAGTGTGCAATTTTTATCCTTAGATTAGCGTCTGACCGAGAACAAATGTAACCAGACTCAATTCAAGGAAAAATATAGTGTTGACTAGAGAACGATCCACTGTCCATCCAAATATTGTGATTCCTCCTGGATTTGTCTGCAAATACATCACTGCATATTTGATGAAAACAATAAGCATGAAATCCTCCTGGTAGATACAAAAAAGCTAAAAGCCTGCCTTCAAGTTTTGAAACCAGAAAGAACAAGATTTCTTAACTTCAAAATACATTCCAAAAGCAGTTGTCGTGTGTGTGATTTAGCACGACTGCTAATATATAGATAATAAATAAAGTCATACACTAAGAACCAGGAAATTAAGTGCAATAATCTCACAAAATGAGAAAATTCACATTTGCAAAAAAAATAGTGATTTGTGTGGTAATTATTATGAGGTCAACGGAGTGGCCTGGTAATAGTAGTCCATATATGCAAACTTAAACTTTAGGTTTTCAATATTTTGTAGAGATGGCATGTTTATTGCACATTACACTACATATGGAAGATGATTCTAAGAATGCTAATTTGCTATTAAGGATGTCAAAATGGGGATGACCCACCAATTCGCTTCAAATTGGCAGGACGAGATGATACTCTTAGCTCGCCTGTCCCATTAGTCCCCTTTTAAAATATATTTATATATTAAAATAAAAATAAAAATGATTATAATTAAAAATATTATATTTTTGTGTTATGTTGTTAGAATATATAAATATATTATAATATTATAATTTAAATTATGAGTACTAACCAATTAAGCTTAAATTATAAATTATAATTGAGTATTTTAATACATAAATATAGTAATTTTTTCAATTTATCTAATAAAAATATTAATTAATGAATAAAACTTAAAAATATTCATATAATTAAATATATATTTTAAAAAATATATATAGAAAAAAATATTAGCAGGAGGCTAGTCCACCCGCTCGCTCTTTAGTGGGACAATGACGTGTAGCCCATCCCGTCCCATTTATGTTTTGAACTATCTCATTTTGCCACCACTATTTGCTATCTAATTAGATGCATCACAAAAAATGTTTGCATAGCATGTTGTAAGTAGCCATTTTAAGCTAGAGTTAGTTCATGAACACGAGAGATAATAATGCAAATGAACATTAATCAGATATAACCTTTAGAAAAATCAGCAAAAATGTTTTTCATTCTCTTAGACAATGTTAGTACCCACCTCTTTCACTAGGCCAAATGTTTTCATTATGCCTTGAATGTACAAGATAAAAGACACAGATTTTGCAATATAGGAATAAAAAAAATTAATAAAACCAGAAAACTATATTCTAGCATAAATTTTCTTTGGATCTTTCGTAGTTCTGATTTCAATAATCTGCCGTTGATGTATTATTTCATCTCAATTTGGTCTTGCAACACACCTATACCATTTACAGCATTTTGGGTAACATTATCAGATTATTTTAGGTTCTAGTGCAAGATGAAATTATAAGATTAGAAAGCATACATGATAATATGCCATTTATATAAACAATTTGTTTTGCCACGAATGAAAAAAAAAATGTAAAATTGATCGGTTTAAAGACAGTTGGTTGAATTACATACCAAAAGCTTGTCGCCTATGATGTGAAGACACATAGGAAGTCCATTGGGTATTTGAAAACATTCCAGCATAATCCATTGACTCTAGATCACTTTCAGAATAGTCTATATGTATCGCATTTAAATGGTTTGCAGCCTCCAAGCTCCCTGCACTAGCAGAGCTTCGCAATTGTGGTGCATCGGAAGATGTGCATGTTAGCATTGCATGCCACCTGCTTGCAAGGGAAACAATGCCTTGAGCTCTATGAGAAATTCTTGTTGCGGCATGCAAACAAATAATGATGCCCACCACCTGAACAAGTGTGGATACCTGGAAGAATTAACAGTAGAAAATGAAATGATGAAATGAAAGGAACTAGTTTTTCTTAATTCTAAATTCATATAAACACTTTGAACATGAAGAGTTGAACTTACAGCAAAATCTCCACCATTGATGAAGGTCAGCATTTCACCATATCCAGTGACCTGCAAAAGCGTCACAACCTGGCTAGCTGTGACAACCAAGAACTCCAGAAGCAGATAGATTCTGAACCTATGACTTATCTTGGAGAGATGATAACGTAACCGAATGTGCTCTTCCATAAAAACTAAAACATCGCTTTCCCTTTGCAAGAGCTTCCCATAATCATCAAAATGGATCACTTGCAAACTGCAGACCAAGTGAAATAAAATGCAGGCTGACAGAGAGATTGTACTCATATAAGTCCATGATATAATCAAAGCTGACAGAATAGCGAGTGAGAGCCACCAGGATCCATGTTGAACATAGAAAATGCGAATGACTTCTCGAGCGGTCTTCAGAAGGAAACATGGTAAAACCCACAGAAAAAGCAAGCGCATAGATCCCTAGTAACAGTGGAAACAGAGTTTAATAGGCATAAAATTTTGCTATATGAATTAAACAGAAATCATACGGTGTGACTTTGTAAGGTAGATTTTACAAGTATACTGTAATAAACTAGTCTTGTATTGTTCACCAATCAATATGAAAGTTTAACTTTGGCGATCTATTTTGACATTTAATGATTCTTTTATTATACAAAGTCCTGAAGTGAATCTCTAATTTTCATTGAAAAATATCTACGCAACTATATGTAAGTTTTGTACATATTCTGTTCTAAATAATAATAATAGTAACAACAACAACAACAACAACAATAATAATAATAATAATAATAATAATAATAATAATAATAATAATAATAATAATAATAATAGAACAAAAACATTTTAGATCTCCTTGATGGGAAAGAGTTCACTTTCAATTCCAAAATTAGAAGAATACTAACTTGTTCTATACAAAAAAATAAGGAATAACCGAAACATGACACGATAATCTTCAACGATTTGACTCCTCTCATTTTGAGAAATTCTCAAATAAGGTAAATGTTTAATAATAATAAGAGAACAAACGGCAACGATTCTGGTTTCGAGCAAAAACCCTAACGAAACTAAAGTAATAAAGCTAGCACGCATGTAGATGAGAAGCAGAGCAATGATCACTAGAGCAAGCTAAAGAGACATAGAAACAGACCGAAATCTGAGCGACGTACTCGCGGTGAAAGCAATGCATCTTTCCGGAGTAGCGGTCAACGAAGAGGAACCTGCGGAGACCGTACTTGCGGAGGTTGTGGGAGAGACAGAGCAAGGAGACGGCGGCAAGACTCGCCTGAAACGCCACGATCACCATCTCGAAGCTCTTGATCTCGTACCTATCGCATTCCGGGCACTCGCAAATGGACAGCGCCACCAGCGGCGCCGCTACTCCCACCGCCGCGAACAAGCTCCAAGAAATCACCAAACTCAACGCCGAGTGCTGGTTGAACCCTAACACCGTCAGAAACCGCTCCAACCGTGCCAAGCTCTCCTCCACTTTACTCTCATCCTCCTCATCATCATTATTTTCTCCACCACCGTCATCGTTCTTCTTATTCTCGTGATTATTGTTATTTGTCTTATTATCCCCATTTTCCTCTGCTGGTTGCTGTTGAATTGAAATTAGAAGCGGGGTTTGACTCTGAGGGGATTCTTCTGTTCGTATTTGCGGATTAGTCATCTTCGTTCTTTTTGGATCCTCTTCGCTATAACCGTATCTTTGTAGGGTAGTACCAAGTCAAGTAGATTAACCACACCTACCTAATACCTTCCTTCTTCATCCTCAGCGAAGGAATCGCGTGCCGACCGCACCTACGCACGCTGTGGCGCGGGATCTTGACATCATATGCAATCTGCGTCTCCTCATGACGCGTGGCATCGCACGGAAACACTGAGCCGTTGATGAAAGGAAGAAAGGCCTTCACGGGGAGAATCAGAGAAGTGGGTGAGCATTTTTCAATTGCCGATTTCTTAAGCAGGTATAAAACTCTGGCGTGGGAAAAAGGATTCAATGACTTTTTTTTTTTTTTTCGTACCCTGCTTTTAAGATTAATAATTCATTTGTCTAATTGTTTATTTTTTTAAAAGAAACTCTTATAAATATTTACTAATATTTTTTGTTTCAATTAATACCCTGAATAAAAAACTAATACCTTCAAAATATCTTATTAACATTTTTATCAATAAAAAAATTCTATATGTTTAGTAAAATGTAATCTTATTTAGAGTAAGATTTCATTTTAAAATACAAGTTTCAAAGCATGATCCCAGAGGAATATTTTTATAAAAAATTGTGAGACATACTTCAACAACTCTCAAGGATTTAAATAGGAGAAATTCGAGAAATCTCCATAGTCACCTGCTACTTTATAAGGGGATTTTTTTGTAACTTGTGACTTGTATCTTGTAAGCCTTATTGAAAAAAGTGTAAGGGTGAGTCTCTTCCTCATCTTTATCTCCTAACAAGCACTAAAAATAAATAAAAAAATTTAACAATATAACTTTAAGTCAAATGGGTTTCAAGCAAGAAAATAATCATTCTTAAAACTCACTTTATTATATAACTAATTTCATAAATTGAATTAGACAACTTCATATGTTGCATGACTTGATATAGAAAAACAAAATCATTGTATTAATTTCCAAAAGAGATTTAAAAATCGTAAACCCGTAAGCACATTTTCTACCAAAATCAAAAACATTGTTTTATTCATAATTCTCTCGGTACAAATTTTATTAAGAATATTTTCATATTAAACTTCAAGTTTTGCTACCAATAAATTCATTTCTAAACTTAAATTTGCTAAAGGGAAAAAATTGAACAAAAAAAAAAGATAATTTTTTTTAATTTTAATGGAAACTTGTTTTGGTAGTACCTTCTTCTAAAAAATTGTGTTCTGGATGTTGTATATATCAAAACCTATGTTTTCATATTTAATGAAGCAATTTTTTTTTACTGCAATTTTTTTTTACTATAATTTATAAAGGAAATATAACATTTTAATGCTAACACAACATGATAGTTAAAAAAAATGTAACAAATGAAATATTATTAATCGAAATTAATTCATTTTATCTTTATGAAGTTTTTTAAAGCAAAAGCTAGGTTATTAAATAACTCTCTTAGGATGATTTTTTCCAGTGAGAACAAGAATAGAAGAACTCTAAATAATAGGAAAAAGAAAAGTTAAGGAGTGTGAGTGAAACAAAAGTAAGAAATCACAATAAATTTACCTAGAATAAAAGGAAATGATCAAGGAAGTAAATATTTGTTAATTTTCTCTCAATTTAGACACATTAATATCAACATTTTCTTTAATCATTGGAAACTTAAGTGTATTAGAGATAGATTTACAACAGTGTTGTTAAAAAGATTTGATTTCTTTCTATTAAAATATTTCAGTTTTAATTTATGTTAGACGTATATATCCTTTGATTTTTTTTTTTCTTATTTAACTCCATGCTAAGTCCATATACAAATAATAGTTTTTTTTTTTCTTATTTAACTCCATATAGCTAAGTCCATATACAAATAATAGTTGAGTTGATGAATAGAAGTAATTCATATGATATTTATTCTAATTTTTTTTATGTTTCTTTATTTTAGAAACACTAATAGTATCACAACTTAATTATCCTTTTTGCTTTTATGCATCTCCTTCTCTTTCTTGCTTCATTTTTTTATCAACCATGGCGTATTCAAGCCAACATATTTTTCATAGTATTCCCACTCAAAATTCACCCCTGGATCTTCTTGTAAATCTGGCAAACCTGCTCTATCTTCATCCCAGTGAGAATCCGACAATCATTCATGTTTCTCCCCTCTAAACTGAGAACAATTTTCATCAATGGCAACATGAAATGATGGTTGCTCTTAAAACCAAGAACAAAGAGAAAATCATCAACAGTAAACTATCATGTCCTCCAACCACATATCCTCTTCGTGATACTTGACGCAAGTACAATCACATGGTGATGTCTTGGCTCACATGATCCATGAGTCCATTCATCAAACAATATTATGTGGATGGACACTATAACTAAAATGTGGAAAGATATTAAAGATCAATTTTTACATATAGACAAATTTCGCATTGATGATCTTCAATATCAAATTCAAAATTGCAAATAAGGTGATTCAAGTATCTTTGGACACCACACTCCATTAAAGATTTTGTGGAAATAAATCAAAATGTACATATGCGCTCTTCTTTGCACCTATTCAAATATTGTTCTTGTAGCCTTCTTCAAAAGTTATAGAAACAAAAGAAGACGATTGTGTAATTCATTTTTTTAAGCTTAAATGACTATTACTCTCAAGTGACAGATGATGGATTTCATGCCATCAATCATAAAAAAAATTTCCATGATAGTTCAACATGAATAGAAATTTTTTGGTAACTCATCCCCTTCTCCTTCTCAAGATTATGTTGCTTTCTCTATTAAATCACATGATATACCCAAAACTCATAACATCAATAAAACTCATACCTTGGTGAACAAGAACTAATCTTGGCAAATCCTATAATACAAACACAAAATATTGTGAGAAATGTAAGAAAATCAATCACACTATTGACACTTGTTATTGGACGGTTGGTTTCCCTGCCGGATACAGAAAGTCTATTCAGCGAAATTCATTTGGTTCAACCACCTCTGCTAGTTTGGTAGAAGTAGATTCAAATACGATTTCACGACAATTTGAACTAGTTAATAGCTCTAATCTTGACCAATTTAGATATCGACAAAATAATATCAGGCTATTATGGCTCTTCTTCAACACTCCAAGGCTAACTCGTCTTCAATCAACAATGCTCAAACCTCTCTAGTTAATCACTTAGGTGATGTTTCTTACTCTTCTTCATGGATTTTGATAGTGGTGCAACATACCACATTTGTCTGTCCAAATTTCCTTTTACTTTTGTAAAACCTTTAACACGTGTTCAAATCAAAATGACAAACAATATTATTGTCATTGTTCACTTTTTTTGCAATATTCATCTTGGAAAACTTACCCTTGTTAAAGTTTTATATGTACCAGATTTTGTTGCCTGTCTCATATCCATTCCTAAACTTATTTCTACTATTAATTGCATGATTATATATGTGATGCATATTGTTTAATCATGCAAAAATATAACTTTCAAATGATTGGTGCAACTAAGCAATGAAATGACTTATTTTATTTATAACATGGAACTTCTATTATTACTAGTAGGAAAAGACAATTTTTTTTTTTACATAATGACATGTATCACAGGGATGTAAACACTAAAAAATAATATTGTATTTAGAAGATAAATGTTTGAGCATTTTATTTGAAATGTGACCTAGTCTAAGATGTCATAACATAGAACTGGTAGTAGGCATTACAGTGAAAAATTACAATGAATTTAAAAGAGTAGGTGAATAAGATCCACATGATTTTAAGTCACTGGAGTGTTGTAAGTAAAACAAGTCATTCCATTGCTTAGCTACACCAATCATCTAAAAGTTGTATTTTTGCATGATTAAACAATATGCATCACCGAATGTAATCATGCAATTAATAATGGAAATAAGTTTAGGGATGGATATGAGATACACAACAAAATCTAGTACATACAAACATTAACAAATGTCAGTTTTCCAAGATGAATATTGTAAAAAAGTGGATAATGATAGTAGTATTGTTTGACAATTTGATTTGAACAGGTGTTATAAGTTTTAAAAAGGACAAAAGAAATTTTGACGGACAAATGTGGTCTCTTGCACCATTATCCAAAATCCATGAAGAAGTGCAAGAAACATCACTTGAGTGATTAACTAGAGAGGTTTGAGTATTGTTGACTGGAGACAAGTTAGCCTTGAATTGTTGAGAAAGATTCATAATAGCATGATATTGATCCTTCGAGAAACTAAATTGGTCACGATTAGAGCTATCAACCAGCTCAGATTATTGTATTTGAATATACTTCTACCAAACTAGCAGAGGTGGTGGAACCAGATGAATTTTCCCGAATAAACTTTCTATATCAGAGCAGGGAAACCAATCCTCCAATAACAAGTATCAAGTGATCGGTTTTCTTACATTTCTCACAATATTTTGTGTTTGTGCCATTGGATTTGCCAAGATTATTGTTCTTGTTCACCAAGGTATGAGTTTTGTTGATGTTATGAGTTTTGAGTATATCATGTGATTTAACAAAGAAAATAATAGAATCTTAAGAAGGAGAAGGGGATGAGTTACCAACAAATCTTGTTCATGCTAAAGTACCATGAAAGAAGTTATAACGATTGATGGCATGAGATTCATCATCATCACTTGAGAGCATACTTGAGAGTAACTGTCATTTAAGCCTCGAAGAAAATGGATTACACAATCATCTTCTCTTTCTTTCTATAATTTTTTAAGAAGACCACAAGAGCAAGATTTTGAATAAGTGCAAAGAAGAACACATTTGTACATTTCGATTTTTTTCCACATAATCTTTAATCGAGTGTAGTTTTTAAAGATACTCACTTTATTTGCAGTTTTGGATTGATCTTGAAGATCAATGATGAATTAAATATTTTCGCCTAGATCTCATCAAAGAATATGCAAGGAAAATATGTCGTGTTAGGACTAGTCTAGGTCGTGTCCTGGAGGAGAATTAGTCAATGTTGCTTAAATATTGATTACCACTTGTCAAATGTTAAGAA